CACTAAAATATCTGAGAGTAAAGGGGAACAATAACTAATCAATTAACAAGTAGTTCAGAAAAAATATTTTTCCAGACTTTGAACAATAAAATTTGCAGAATAAAATGTAAATAATGATGAATGTGGGAAAAGATGTAAGAGAATTTCTTGTGCTACTCTTGAAATTTTTGTTCAGTTATTAGATCAATGTAGAAAGTTCAGAAATTGTATCTACTGAATATTATTGTGCAAGTCCTGGACACTTTTTTGCAGAGTTTTCTATGCAGGAACTGGAACAAAATAAAATTTGTATTGATCATTTCTAAAATTTACAGAATGAAAATGAATGCAGCATCTTAATTTTTCTTTACAACCATCCTATGGGATAGACATGCTTATGGTCACCCTACAGATGAGGAATCTAAAATTCAGCCACTAAGCTGTTTTCCCATTATCACATATAGGGAGATTCACATGTATGAAATCAAAGTTCTTTCATCTGGTTCAAAGACAACCTTGCTCTTTCAGCCACAGCTGAGTTGGCCCATTTTCCCCATATCCCTCTTTTAAGCCCATAGAAAGGGAACAACAGAGACCAGAACACTTAGAAGGATATTTAGACATTCCAGAAACATCAAGCATTTGCTTTGAGGGTGTTGATAAAGTTAGAGACAGGAGAAATGCTGTCCAATGAATCGATTTTACCAAGAAAAATTATGGAAAAGATTATGCAGGCTCCTCAAAAAAGAAAGAAAGAAAATAAAAGAAAAACAATGAAATAAATCCAGCTATCCTAGTCCTGGGTATATATCCATAGGAAAAGAAGTCAGCACCAAAAGGAGGTATTTGTATACCTGTCATGGTTTAGATCTACAATGTCCCCACTAAAGCCTGGTGTTCAGAGGTGGGCTTTTGGAAGGCTGCTAGCTATAAGGGTACTATACTCAGCAGGTTAATCCACTGCTGAGTTCATAGTTGAGTGTGCTGTTAGGAAGTAGGGCCTGGTCAGACGAGTCGGCACAACTTACAAAGGTTTACCTCCCTTTGCTCTCTCTTCCCTGGATGCTATGAGAAGAGCATCTGTCCTCAGGCCAGACTCTACCACCAGGCTCTTCCGGCCTTTGAGCCAGCTGACTGTGGACTGACACCTCTAAAACCACAAGCCAAAATGAATCTCTTATAATTCAAGTTTTGGGTGTTGGGTATCTCGTGTCAGTAAGAAGGAATGTGACTGACACAATTGTGATTTTTGTTACGGCACTGTTCACGGTAGCTGAGATATGGAATCAGCGTGGGTGCTTGCCAACAGGAGAATGGATAAAGAAAACGTGGGGTATTATTCAGCCTTAAAGAAGAATAAAATTATTGGGAAAATGGAGGGAAATTAGGACATGATGTTAAGTGAAAAAAGCTGGACACAGAAAGACAAATAATCACGTTATTTCTCATATGTGGAAATTGTAAAAGTATAATGATGATCTGAATGTAGAAAACAGACTTTTAGGGACTGGAATGGGGACCACGGGATGCGGTAGAAGGGTGAATGGACTTGATCAATGTATGATATATGAATGTATGGAAATATCACAGCAAATGCCATTAACTTGTTCAATTAATACATGTTAATAATTATTAAGGAAAAAACTGAGAAAATGGAGCAAGGAGAAAGGAAGGAGACAAAACACCATGTTAGCAAGTTCGCAAGTGTGGAGGGACAATTTTAGTGAGGTAGTGCAGGGGTAGTGCAGGGATAGTGCTGGAGAAAGTTTTCAAAATGTCTTAAGGAGAGTTATAGAGTCACTCTTCTGTGGCATTTCTATACTAGGTGGAGTGGGGCAGAAAATAGAGACAACTCTCAACACCCAACCCAATTCTCTTTACCTCTGTTAATTTAAACTGCAGAAGTAGAGAGAAAAATGTTTGAATCCCTGACCTTCCTTTTACCTGGGACTAAGCATGTGACCCATGACGAAGGAGAGATATAGAAGTTGCTGTGAAGGGTGACCCTTCCCAAATGAAAGACAAATCTTTCCTAAGTGTGGTAGTTAGTTCCAAAAAAAATGGGATCTGCCCAATTCATTCTTCCTTGTACACATATTTCACTTCTCTTTTTTATTTAGTTTAACAAAATATGGCCAAAGTAACATTCTACCATGTCTGACCCATTGTATAAGAAGTCCAGCTACCTTAAAATAGCGTTCTTAGTCACTTTCTTGTCCTTGACAAAATACCTGACACCCACAACTTAAAGGAGGAGAGGTATTTTTTTGGCTATTTCAGTCCGTGGTCAGCTGCTTCCCAGGCAGAAACAGCATGGCAGAGGTGATGGCAGAGGTAAAAGTGACCAGTCCATGCCAGCCAGTAAGCAGAGAGCAAAGGGAAGAGCCCAGGACAAGAACACACACTTCTAGGTCACACCCCCAGTGATCCTCTTCCAACCAGGACCTCCACCTAAGAACACCTTTAGCTTCTGAGCTAATTAGTGATTGACTCCACTGATGAGGGCGGTGCCCACATGGTTCATCCACCGTCCAAACACGTGAGGTCTGAGGATCATTTTAAATCTAATCTGTAACAACCATCATTCTCCGAGAAAGCACAAGCTGTGTAGAAAAGCTGTATGGAAAGAGAAATGCTCAGGCAGCCACTAACTGTTTGGTCGTCCGAGCTGCAGAACCAGAACAACTGGTGAAGCCACCATCTTGTGTTTGTAAGCTCAGCAGACACTACAGAGAGCAGAACTGGCTGAGCCAGCACTGCTTACCAAACTGTGAGAAATAATAAACTGTTATTTTCTGGGAAAAAAAAATTTAAAGAAATTTAAAATAGATCTGGAATAAATTTGCATTCAATACAAGCCATTTATGTGGTATGAGTTGAATATGTTGCTTTATCGGAGTTAGTTTTTATTAGGAAGTTAAACTTTTCACTGCATAATTAGGATTTTTTAAAGACCTAGTAACATTGTTAGCATACTGTAAATTTTTAAATAAAAATATTTAAATAATATAAGGAATTTTTTAAATAATTTTGCTAAAAAAGTGAAGCAAAAAGGCAAGAAATCTTTTGGCTACTAGACAAAGTAAAAGTAATCCCACTAAGTGGCTAAAAATAGTCAAATGAAAAGTTATAAGGATAATTTTGAATTCATCACAATTCTAGCACAGCTCATCCTTGTTCATTTGTGTTCAATTTGATACTGTGAAGACATTTTATGTTCTGTATGATTGAACATGTGTCTGTAATAGATGAAACTGCCTTTCTATTTCCTTCATATATATGTGGTTTCAAAAGATAAATTGGTGTCACCGACCTATAAAAGTACATTTGTAAGAAAGATAATTGAAAGATGTCACTAATATTGATAGCCTGGTTGATATTTAGAAAGCACATGTTCTTCAAGAACATCAAACAGAGGAATTTACCAAATCCACGGTTAATATTGCAAGGTTTCTAACTTACTAAGAACTACCTACATGTGACACAAATGGCTAATACTTTAGCTTAAACTCCCTTTATCTGCAGGATAGTTATCATTTGGATGCCATGCATCTGTGATGGGCTCAAAGCACAGATAGTGCATAAATAAAGATTAAAGCCAAATTTAACAGAGGATGGAAAGTTTAACTGCTAAAAATATTGTTATAGCATGGTTTAAACAGATAAAAGCATTCCTACCAAGATGTAGAAAAGTTAAGACGAGGCACATTGAATGTGAGAGACATTATATTTACTAACCAAGATAGAGTACCTACTGCACAATATCAGAGAGTTTAGATGTAGATGAGACAATACCTCCACTTAGATAGCTCCCCTGGACACCAGTGGGTTGGCGACCCTAGATGTGACCAAGAGTCTTATCTCTCCAGATTTCCAGGATTAAACTATTGAGAATATTCTCATTCTAGTATCAAAGGTGTTTAAGCATAGGCGCAGTCCTTTATGCTCCTTCTTCCTGCTGTTCTCCATTTTCCCTAAAACTTTCATGATAACCTTCTCTGTCTGATAACTCATCTTTATTCATGCAATAATTTTCACTGTCTGTGTTCTTAGAGAGTTTTAGTCTTTAGTTTTTTTTTGTTGTTGTTGTTTTTAAATTGGAGCTGTCTCTTCCATGTCTGAGCACACAGGTCAGGTGTGACGGACTGTTCCTAATCCTTGCAGGTAAGATTGTTCCTTGGAGGCCGTAACTACTCAGAGACAAGAAATCAGGCCAGGGTGAAGCCATAAATCTCATAAAATGGGAAGAGACCATTTTTCCCTTTTTTATTCCTGAACTTCAGAACTATCTAAAGAGGTGCCTTCTCTTGTGTGGGAGGAGAAAATCAATGTATTCCTGGGCTCAGGATCATTTACTTTTTTCCTTTTCCCTTTGAGCCTCTGGAATCATTCTATACCTTCCTGGGGCACAAATTTAGGAGGGACTGCCTTCAGAAAGAGGAAATAAATTCTAGCATTTGGCATCCTATTTAAAAACAAACATAGTTAAATATGGTTGATATTAGTTTTAAATTTTGATTACACATAACATTAAAGTAGATCTAACCTGAACTCTAAAAATTTTTATTCATAGCAAAGTGCTTACATATGACCTGGCCAAAATATATTTGCAATTTGAGGGCTCCCTATATATGCAATTTGATATTGACTATTTGCAAACAATGAATATTATCTACATTAAATTATAACAAGCACAGTTCATACATTAAATACTAGTTAATTCTACACTCCAAAAATGTTCATCTTTTGGACTAGGTAGAAATTTCCAATTTTCATTGTAAATGAAACACAGATTTTGATATATGTAGCTGATGGTTTATAATTGAAGTTTATTTTTTATGAGATTCTATTTATGATTTATATGCAACTTTAACAGAAAATGATTAGCAAGTTAATAATACCATAACAGCACAAAACATTTTCCTGGTGGGACGGTTTTGGGAGGCTGCATGACATAGAATGATTGGCAGAGTCTGCAGCCATGATGTTGTTTGGGAAGGGACGCAGGGCGTCAAACTCACCCATAAACACAGTGTGCAGCAGATACCAGCCAGGCATTGCTGACGAGAGATGCACCACAGAGCAGGTTGCCATTATAAGACAGACCAACAAGCCAGGGCCAGGCTCCTTCTTTGGCGTCAGTTCCCCCAACAATCTTTGGGCTAACTTTTTGAGCCAGCAGTTTTTTTCCACATGCTATTAAAATAATTGAAAAAAATCCATAAATTTTCTTTGCAGTAGAGTGATACCTTGATTGTTGAATTCAATGTATTCCCAATTTGTGTTCAAACACTGAAAAGTTTAAAAACTGAACACATCTTTCCCATAAGAAATAATGGAAAAATCAAATAATTGGTTCTGAGGCCCCCAAATTACACTTATAAATCCAATTTTCCAATACGTTAACAAATTTTGCAATTTTTCCCTTTAGCTCTATAGCAGTTTTCATCTTAGATTTAATGTTGGTATCACTAACTTTCTTTGGAACTATAGCTATGGTATTTTATAGTAATAAACCACTAAAACAAAAGCACAGTGATGAATGTTTTAATGCACTAACATAAGCATTATTTGTTGTCTGAGTGAGAGCAACATTTAGGCTGAAGTGTCACCTCTTTGTGTCTTTGGTGAGACATATGCATGACTCGGCCTGGTACAGGTTTTCCCAAGTTGGATTTTTGGTTTGACTATTGAGCACAGTTATGAACATGAAGCACATATTTTTCAAACTTTGCTTTTTGAGTAGTGGAAAGTTCAAGTTTGGAACTGTTGGATAACTGAGGTATCACTGTATTTCTTTGCAATATTGAAATTGAATGGGGACAAAATAACTGTAAAGCTCTTTTCAGAAATTTAAATTGAATACTTGAAGGTCATCATGACAAAATGTTTACTTACGTTTATAGTTACATTGCAACAGTATCACATAATCCTCTAAGCACTGTTCACTGTAATGGAAGAATATTTTACTTCAAAAGTTGTGCATTTAACATATTAACATAAAATAAAACATCAATATTATATTTTAACTTTTTAGTCAAAAGGAGTTTTTAATCTATGTATCACGTGTGATTTATAAGAAGGCTGAAATTCACAGCAGAAAATGACCTAGTTTAAAGTAAAATAGAGATGTTTGCACCACTTACCCTTTAAACCGTTAATTAAGATTCACCAACTTGATTGTATTAAGAAACACCTAGCAGATTAGTAAGGCACACTTTGGAGTATGACTGGGCAGATCCTGGAGATGTGACCTTGAGTGCTGTACATGGATGGTCCCTGGCCCCTTGCTCTCTAGTGCTGTTCCCCTGCTTTGTTTCCCAGTCACCATGAACCGAGCAACTTTGTTTTGTCATACCCTTCCACCATGAAGCTTCTGCCTTAAAGCCACCTGACCATTGACTGGATCTCCTGAAACCATGAACCAAATTAAACCTCTTTTTGAAGTTGTGGATGTCAGGTATGGAATCTCATTGACAGAAAAGCTAACCATTTGTGTGATTTTTGGGTAGGTTGCTCAATATCCTTGAGATTCAGCTTCCTTACCCATAAGATGGGTGTAAAACTGATTAATGGATTGGAATCTTATACATAATGTACACTTTATTATTAAAGATAACTATTGTCTTTTTGAGAGAACCAACCTTATATTTCATCATTCTATCACACCATAGTCCCTTGGGAAGACTCAAGAATAAGGACCCCACTAGATGCCTAAAATCATAGATACTATCTAATACCTTTTTCATTATAACTACTTACTACATATTATGGCTATAAGTTTTACAGGTTGGATTGTGACAGCAAAATTAGCAGAATGTCTTTTTTCCTTCTTCACAATTTCATAGACAGAAGAATCATTCTTACAATGAATAAATGATCTTTGTAACCTTAGTATATGATTTATTTTCTTTCTCAAATAAAAAGTTTCAATTTTTAATTTAAAAGGAATACTTCATGGCTCCCTTTGGCATATCCTAAGAGACAGCATCACTGCTCTTGTGCTTTGGGGTCATTATTAAATAAAATAAGGGTTATAAGAATGCAAGCCCTGGGACACCAGAGGTTAATGTGAAAAATGAGGCAACTCATAAATACTAATGGAAAGGTCATGTATGTACCATACCTGTGAATAAGGACTCATTCCCATCCCAGGCAGACAGAGCAAGGCCACATAAGATTTCATTATGCTACTCAGAATGACATATATTTTAAAACTTATTTATTTGTTGTTTACATTTATTTTCTTTAGGCTGTGGCTGGGCATTAGTAACTAAAGTTTAGCAAAGAAAAACTATAAGGAGAGACTACTGCACAGAGTAGATCTCCGCATTGCCAGTCCCACAACTGTTCAATGCCAAACACCTTGTGTGAGGCTGTGAGCTTCATTCAAATAATTTAATGATGAATGACTCACAGGTCCTGCTTTATGGCAGGAAGACACGTAAATCAGAAATATAAAATAAAGAATGTGCATAAATTATTGAAAAAGTCATTACTTATTCAAAAATTTGGAGGCCACTTTTTTCCCAAAGCCAAGAATTCTATTTTAAGTAAAACTTTAAACAAAAATTGTTTCACAATATGTTATACAAATCAACCACTAGAGTTCAGTATAACACAAAGAATTTTAGTACTGTGCTTGGCCACAGACCTAATGCAGCAGCTACTGCAGATATTTGGCACATTAAAACACGCACACATATTTACACAAATAATTTCAGCTATTCATATTTACATAAAGCACTTAAGTTTGCCTAATTATGCATGTTGTTTAGGTGCTTGAACTTTGGGCAGCAATATAAAAACAAAACAATTCCATATGTCCATCAAAGAAATTCAGTTTCTGGAATACATATGATAAATTTTAATTAAATCACATACATCTATGTTGTCTGATTGCCATTCTCTTTAAAATAGAGAAAACTTTCAATATGCATATAAATAAATGTTTATATTTTATTAATGTTAATATATTGATATATTTTCAGTTCATTAATGTATATATCTATAACACCCCAAAGAAGATCCCAGTAATTCTTCTAATATCCACTTGTGCTTGAAGAATATTTTCAATTCTCATTAAAACTCCTCCTACAGGGCCAGGGATTGAACTCAGTGGTTCCGCTGCCTGCTTTGCAAGTGCAAGGTCCTGAGTTCAATCTCTGGTACCAAAAAAAACCCCTCAAAACAACAAAACTACATTTATAGCAATCATCAAGGAATATCACTTCAAAATTGCCTCACTTTCTAAGGTAACTGTGATGGTCTTAGAAAGATTAAGCAAGACTTAATTTCATTTTTAAAAGTACAGAAAAATTTGTAATGATTTCTAACAATTTGTAGTTAACTAGAAAATTCAACTGAACTTAATACTTCCTTTTTCATGCATTTTGAGTAATTAAAATATTCTTATACAATTCATGCAGTGTTTCAGTGTTTCAATAATTTTCTTGGTCTCTGTGGAATAAGGAGTGAATCCTACTTTGACAACATCTATTCCTAGAATTTGGAGAGAAGCAGAATTACTTTCCTGGCCACTGCTCCTGAAGTCACAACTGGGTTATTATTCTGTAGAGCCAAAGTGGGAATGTTATAGCCGCATGTCTTTTTCTTGGCCCATTGAGGTAATGGTGTTTATATCTATACTTTGACAATAAAGAAGCTATTTATCTCCAAATTTATGCCCACTATGACCTTTTATCTTATTGAAAAGGACATGCTTGTTCTTTCCTTTTACCTTTACAAAATTACTATTTAACGTGAGCTGCTGCCTCAGGAAATTTAGAAGTAACACATTAGAGTAGAGGAGTAAAAGGCTTTGAGGTCAGACTTGGGTTAGAATCTCCACACTGCTTACTCGCTGTGTGAACTTGTGGGAGTCAATGATCAGCCCAGATGTCCTCCACCTCATCTTCATGAGGAAACTCTAATGTCAGTCATGGAGTTTTTGCATGGCTTGAAAATAACCGCAGGGATATTTCCACTACAGTACTGTGACATGTTAGATAGTTAAAATATTTGATAAACACTTTGTATCATGTATCTAGCATCAAGTTCAGAACAAAACATTTATCAATACATATTACTTCCAATTTCCATTCACTTCTGGAACTATTATTTACGTTACCATAGGTTTAAAGGAAAGGAAAGCCTAGTATTGACAGCTGTATGAGTTGCTTAACATTTTTAATCCTATCAGTCATCTTGCTGATTTCACTTTGAGTGGCCTTTTCCAGTGCTGGAAGAATGGTTGTCCGAATTCTGTATATGTCTCACAATGGCATAAAGAGTGGGGATGCAAGCTGGTAGATTTTCATAGTTGAGAGAATCATTTTCCCTGAAGTCCTTTTCATTTTTAATTTTTTATATTGCAACCCACTAGTACAAGGGTATCTTCAAAAGCATCAGTTTTCATAAGGGAATAAACATAATCACCTCAGCCGTAAGTAAGTAAATGCATAAATTAACCAAATAAATGAATGCATCCAAATTTTTTGGCAACTGAGTTAACTGTAGCTAATTAAGGGAAAGATTAAGGCCATTTAACTAATTGGCTTATTAGCTTACTGAAAGTTTGTCTATTAATGCTTTCTTTTTTGAATACTGTGAGCATGCTCTTCATAGTGATATTAGGGTAAATTGGTACTGTATTTTTTTGTTGTTCTTTATTTTTTGTAAGTATGAAATAATGTAGTCCTGTTCTGAAACATGTATACTATTAAATTTAATTTGTTTTGAATTATCTTCCTTGCTTTTCTTAATTCTTAGATGTCTATAAAACATGAATAGATGAAGCCTTCAATGTACAAGCACCTTTAAGGTCTCTAATGGTAACATAAATTTTGGCATACCTTACAGAAGAGATCTATCTGGCTGCTTTCTGACTTGAAGATGGGTTGTTTCTTCCCTGCCAGACTCATAAGATCATTTAAGGCCCAGCAAATATTGATGTAAACATTCCATTGCAAGGTCCTTTTCTTAGTACTAGGAATAGTCCTTTACCAATTTGTTTTAATAATTGAGCTCACAGAAATACTGAGTTTTCATGAATATCTTAATAATTGTATATTTTATTTTTTACCATTAATTGTGTTAAACAAAATACATCAGTAGTAGCATCTTAATTTCTTAACTGTAATATCAGCTGCTTCTTGTAGTTAATTTCTTCTCACCCACAGCTGGCCTTAAATGCAAATATAAAATGCACAATCCAATTTCACAAATTTGAAACAAGAGTTACCATTAATCTCTAACAGGAGAAATGACATAATCTAAGCTAAGACAGACCTTTGAACACAGAAAGATGCTGATTTTGATAGCTTAGGTAAGGCTTTAAAAATAAACCTGGCTTTAAGAAGCAAGAGAAAGTATAGGCCCAACTAGAAGTTTAGACATCTTCATTTAATAATCATGTTCTGTTTGCTAAGGAAGAGAAAAAAAATGGCAACATTATCAGAAAGGATCAATTAGATACTGCTTGAAATTGACCCCCTAAATACATTGTCAAATACCTTTCAACAGTAATGGCCAACATGTGGTAGCATTGCAATATGTCTGGCTTCAAAAACCTGCCTTGTTTCCAGTACATGCATACCTAGTGCAAAAACAAAGTTCTTAGTTTAGAGCTCACCTGGGTGTTAGTATTAAACTGCCATTCAGTGCTGTGCTTAATTTTACAAATGCCCCTCTTCCGGCTGTGAATGTTGCTATTGATGAATTTTCATTCCTAGGGAAGAAAAATATATAGAAAATACAAAAAAAAAACCCAAAACACAACAAAAACAAATAAAAAAATAAACTGCATTTTTTTGTTCTTTAACTCTGTGGACACTGAAATTATGGGATACAAAGAGATGACCATTTCAAAGTAAAGTTCCGATATCTATCTGATAGTGTAGATCAGTAGAATTACAAGACATTTCATGACATGGAATGCAATTTAAAATTTTTCATAAAACCTCTTGCACTGGTTTACATTTCCATATATTATTTTACAAAGGTAAAATCATTGCATTTATCACTTGGGTATTTGATTTTTCTATTTGACTTTTCTATGTCCTGCAATAGTTTTGGTTGTTGTTGTCACATGGTTTGGTTTGGTTTGGTTGTTGTGGGGTTGATCTTAGGTTGATCATACAACCATTGAACCATATACATTCCCAGCCCTGTTTATTTTCTGAGACCAGGTCTTGTTAAATTGTTAAGTCTGCTCTTGAAAATGTGCTTTTTCTGCCTCAGCCTCTTGACTAGCAGGGATTATGGGCACATGCCACTACACCCAGGCATCCCATAGTTTATGTATATGAAGATCAATTTGAATGACAATCTCATAGAATTGCTGCGGCATCATTTCTCTTACTGAGCATAATTCATCTTTTTAAAAGATACATATGGCCAGGGAAAAACAAAAAGGATCTTCGGTATTCTCTTTCAAAATGTTGCTATGTTCTTGACTTTTCATTCAATTCAAAGCTTAACAAGCTCTAATTTAATATCAGAATCTACATGATTGCTCTAAAAGAGGAATTGTGTAGTCTAGACTTGTAAATGTCAATGGTGAGCCACCACAAGGTGGAGAGAGACCTCTACATGTGACAAAAGACACTGAATCCCTAGGCTTTCTCTTTCCAGAAAACCTATTGAATTCTTTCTCTCAACTGTGAGCCTTAATTGAAAATTTCTCTTAATTATCCTGATGCCCTCCCTTAGACTCAGCCCAATACTTTTCCCTTTCAATTATTTGTGGGAGCCGGCCATGGCCCGCTGGCATTTAGCATTGGAAAAGTAACTTCTTCTACCATTGAGGCATTGATACAATCTATGACTCTGTTTATTTGGCTTTTCTGAGACAAGGGTCTCAACTATGCAGATGAGATTGACCTGGAACTCACTGTGTAATCCAGGCTGGTTTTATGGGATTACAGGTGTGCACCACCATGCCCAGCTCAAGGACCTTGTTAAATTTGTTTGTTCTTTGACCTTGTGATGGGAAGAGCTCAGAGACAGCCAAAGATCTGATCTTCTCTGTAAGAGTCAGAAAATCCGGTCTTTGCATACAGCATACAAATAGTTGCTTGGTGTTTCCTGTTGGTGTGCCTTTAAAAGGAGCTGTTTCTGTGAAATAAGCCAGACCACTTGTCTCCACACTATTGAGTGTGCTGTCCTTTCTCAATCCTCACTCCCCAATTCAGGTACGTTCCTGTTGTGATGGCTGGACTGCCACAATTATTAATCTTGTTTCCTGCCTTTTATTTATTTGAGATTTTAATCTTCATATAAAAATATGCCTGTAGGCTGATACATCCCGATTCTACATCTTCTTTGGGCCAGTAATGAAATGATATAGTTCCTATCTTTTGAAAAAGCCTCATATAATCAATGCCTTTCCTAAAAAAAAAGGCCTTGATGGCTTCCCAAGACCGTTGTCAATACTGACCCTTTGCTATTGATATACGGGGAATTTCCAGTGAACACACAGAGCTGTTATGATAAATGAGAACAGAATTGGGTAGAGCACGGCTCTTGTTTCTTTCAATGACTTGAATAAATTGAGAGTGTTTGTCTGGGATCTTTTATCTGCTGAACAAAGAGCTGAGACAATGGAGACTGTATTTAATATCCCTGAATTTAGCATCTTGTACTTTAATTTGATAAGCAGATAAAACTAATTTAAGCACAGAAAGCCATTACTATTCCCATAATAAAAGCTGAAGTAGATTTACCTACAGAAAGATGAGCCTTGCTATTGCTAATGTTAGAGATGATGTTGTTTCTCCTTTGAATGGAGAAGAATAATTTTATTTCACTGTTTATATAAATGGATTTAGTAGAATTTAAAAAACAAAGCAGACATGAAACCTTTAAAGAGTACTAAAGGATGTAGGTCAGAAATGTTCAGGAAGGTCATGAAGGACTTTCTCATGCAAGATACTTGTACTTTAAAGGACTGACACAGTTGCAGAAGAATGTGTATCAAAACAGATCTTGGAGAACATTGACTTTATCATTGGTGCAGATTCTTGTAGACTTCTTCATGCCAATCTTGACTTTTAAAAATAAGAAACAAGGGGCTGGGGATTTAGCTCAGTAGTTCTGCATGCAGCCTGCCTCATAAACGCAAGGTCCAGAGGTCAGTTCCCGGTATCAAAACAAAACAAAACAAAAGAACCAAGATTGATTATGTAAAGGTACACTTTTCCAACAGTGAATGTCATTATATTACATATATTAAGTGTACCAATAAAATTAATTAAAAAAACAAAAATGCCAACAAATGTCTATCCAATATGAAGAGTCTCTAGTTATATTTGCATTGCCTGAAAGCTCCTGAGACATCATTGGACCTAATTAATACACAATTTTGCTGTGAGGGTGAAGGTCCTCAATCATAGTTACTCTTCACTCTCCTTCTAGACAGCTGTCTTCTTGTGTTTACTTACATCCCCAGTGTTTTATTCTACTGAGTATCTGCCATGTATTGAAACATTTTCTAAATAGTGTTCTATATCCCTGGCTCTCCACAACAGATTGTCACAGTGTATTCTCTAGACAAGCACATTCAGCCTCTTCTAGAGCGTATCAAAAATCCAAATTCCACAACCCCTCTGCAGGCCAAGTGAATCAGAAACTGAGGGGTGGGGTCCAGATATCTGTGTTATGACAAGCTCTCAGGTGATTTTGTTGTCCATTATAGGTAGAGAAACACAGAACACAGTCACAGTCAAATGGGAGATCTTTCATTTTTTTCTACTAATATAAGGTTCTCTCTCTCTCTTACACACACACACACACACACACACACACACACACACACACATGTGTTTATATCAAGGCACTCAAACTAAGTAGGGGACTACCTTGAAGGCTGCTTTATTAAAAATATACTTTGAAAATATTTAGAGTCCTACCTATCACTATCATTTTTCTCTATCCCTTGGACATCTCTTTTAACAGCTCCTCAAGTGATACACCAATTTCTTAAATTCAAAATAAAATTTGGACAAAAATTTAATCGGAAATTAAAATGTTATTGAAAAGAAATTTAAATCTTTTAATCTAGCTTATGCATTACACATTTGCTACTGATATGAACTATGATTGCAATGGTGCTAAATTATTTTAATTTATGGCTATTGTAGAAGAAAGCAGAATTAGAGGAAAATCTATAAAAATAGTGGCGCCAGTAAAGACCAGTTGCTCAGTCCTGAGAGGCTAAAACAAAACAAATCAAAACACTATTTACAGAGAGCTAGAGATTATGTATACACTTGAAAAAAGCATGCATAATCATATTCTAACACATTCTCTGCATATTTTGTCTCAAATTTGACAAAAAACAAGTTCCATAGTTAATAGTGTATATATATTATCTTGGGTTATTTAGAATTACTCAACAAAATACTCTCCCAGAAACTTTATAAAGTCCTGATATAAGCATATTTTTGTACTAAATATTGGTATATGGAGAATTTCATTCATATAATGATTTAGCTATTAGAATTTGGAACTTATTTTGAAATGGACCACTTACATTTCAAATCCTGAAAATTCAAACTCACCCTTTTCTGACTGAACTCAATATTTTCCAATTTGTATTCACAGTGGACAGAGATAAAGCAGAGATTTATACAAATCTATTCAGGGTTTTAAGAAATAAAGAAAAAAACCAACATATTAAAATATATTGGAAAATAAGACATTAACAACCCTGTTTTAAATTACCTTTCATTTTTGAAAGACAAAAATTTCAAAACTATTGAAAGCTAAATTAAAAATGAATATTTATATTAAACTTTTATAACTAAACAATGGGACTGAGGTTCATCCTGCCTCAGTTCTCTTTTCTTGCAAGAAAACTAATTAGATTTTAGCAGGACTCTCTGTGAATGCTACAACTAGAGTGAGAATTTTCTGAGTTTTGAAAAGTTCCAGATCTGCAGATTTAGGTAATGGCACTGGGCAGTCTGAAATCCGTAGAAATTTAGTATCATGTGAATGTTCCATACAATACTAATTCCTCCTGGAAACCTATTTTTAAATCGTCATTACCATATTTGGGGGTTATGTACCCTCTAAGGGTCTCCTTACCTCAGGAAAACTTCATGTGAGAAAAGAAGCACACATACACAACCATTATGTTTTAGGTTAAGATGGAATATAAAATACTATCATGGATGAGTTCTAGGTAGAGAAAAATGGATAACCCAAGGCTACTTGTATGGTATTAAATCTTCTGCCTCTCTTCTCAGGCCTTGCTTACGTTGCTTCTCTTTTGTCTTTTCCTGAGACTGTGTTTGCTATGAAAAAAAAAAAAAAAGTCTTCCCTGAAGCAGGAGCTTAAGTAGTGATATTTTAAGTCTTTGGACACACCAAAGATAAAAATAATAATAATGCACACTGCCAATACTGCAGGCAGGTTCTGCAGCTCATTTCACACTCCAAAAAGTTTAAGCAGTGCAGAGCCAGGTGGGATTAAACTAAAGAGGCTCCCAGAGAAGGATGGACTTTTCTTTTGAGATTGGAGGGATAAGGGGGGGATTGATTGGCAGAACAGAAGCAGAATCATTTTCTAGGCAGAGAAATGATGAATGGGAAGGATTCAGTGGTAAAACATCACATTAGAAAAGTCCCAGCATGTGAGCAGTTAGGTAAACACCATGAATGAACTGGACACATTTCAGTTACACTTTCTTATTCATTTACCACATTTAGAGCAATATACTTCGC